TACATTATATCTAAACAATAAAAAAAACTTTATGTCCCAAAACAATGTTGAGGCCCGATTCTGCCGGACTAAAATGGCAATATGGGTCGACCACTAGCAAGTATATACAAGGACTAGCGAGTATGTTAGAACGCCTCAACTTGTCATATTGTCTTAATGATACATTGAAAAATCTTGCGAACCAAATAACTAGCGGCTGACAAAGTCGAATATTTTTATAGAAAAATTGTAATGAATAGCGTTTAGTTCTAATGTACAATCGCGTTGAGCCCAGGTCGCCATGGGTCACTAGAAGACAGATTTGGTTGATTTTGTACTAATCACCGCATGTGAGATTACTCCAGCATCCGACACCTTCATGTCGGTAAACTATCTTTCTGTCAACTCCATTTTTCAAGAATTACTCCCCTGTGCCGCGGCGAAGATCGAATTTTTTTTCCTTCGTTGCAAAACTCTGCGTTCATTCGATAATGTACATGCGCAAAAGTTAATATGGTATCGCAATTCGCAACCCAAAACTAGGTGTTCGGAAGACATAAGTTATTCGATTTACAACTATCTTTTGAAAACACAGCTGAAAACTGACAAATAACACGCAAAACCACGAAAATGAGGCAATATTTATAGCCATGCTTAGAAATCTGTTCGAGCGGAAGAAAGTGTCTGAGCGGCTGTACAAATTGCAATTGTTACGTCATTGTTGACTTATTGCTGATTGTTCATTCTTACGGACATAAAAAGGTAACCGATGCTCGGGGAACATCCATATCCTTCTAGCAAAAAATACGATACTGAAATTCTCAAACCAATTGGTCCAGTGGTTAATGAGTAAATCTATTTTTGCACATGAAGAAGAGAAAAGCAATGGATATGATTTACATATTTATCCCGGGGTTAGGGTTGCCAACTATGAAAAGTTTCAATAAAGTACATAGTAGGCTTGCACGTAATTTACGGAATTACGAAATTATTTCGAGTTACGGAAGTGAAGTTACGAATTACGTAAAGTAGTAATTGTTGGTCGAGCGCTTTCGCGATTGAAACGAGCTCTCTTCAGAGCAGTTAATTCCGTCGATTGTAAAAAATTAAAGTTCAAGTAAAAGAAGTTAGAGTTCCGGTTTTCGCAGCCGTTTTTCTCTTTCTTGTTAGGCAGATGGGGAAGGCATAACGCGTCATTTACTAACCTATTATCAACTTATCTAGGATGGCCAATGTACATATTAACCGTAGAAAAGGAATAGAATTGTGTTGAGACCGATGGACGTCAACACACCTGGTTTCAACTTCTTCTGGTGAAATGACTAAAGAATGTAAGAGATCAACTTATAAAACATGGTCTATTTGTAAATGCCGTGATAATTAATGTTGCGCTTATCAAACATCAATATAAAGACGGAAGAGAAATTGCGTAATGAACCAACGCAACTTAGTCTTTTCGGCATCGGTAAAGGGATTGAGACGGCATAGAAACAACAATACGACGGGATTTCCCGTGTTTATTCTGCGCGAGATCCATTTTCTATTACAAAATCTTGATGTTCTGTTACCGATTTTATCGTTATATACCTGTCCGGACTTGGCATTGCTCAATATGGTTTTCACAATGCCTCGCAATATGTCGGCCAAATATGATTACCTGTCTTTACCAAATGCGGCAACTTATTTTGATTTATCGTCGACTCGAATACACCGTCACCAAACTTGTGTCAATCTTGGCAAATAGGATTGTCGACTTGAGTTAGAAAAATAAATTAATAAAATTAATTTATTAATTTAATAATAATTGAAAGAAATGTCACAAAATGCATTGTTTTGCGATATAACTTTGTATTTTCGAAGAAGGCATGTCATACAACGTACAGTATTTTTAAATAATGCGCAAATAATTAATATTTGATCTAAATTATCGCAAATAATGTTATAACTTTTAGGCCGCGAAATGATTTAATGTAAATGAAGCATAGAATTCGGAATATCGTCAATAAGTCGGCATCAATAATTATTATAAAATGCTAACTAAGTAGTAAAGTCGGATATTGTAAAAAACGGTGAAATAACAAGTCTTCGTCGCGAGGCAAGCGAAAGTATAATCAAACGAGAGAATACGCTTGTAGTTGATTAATAAATTAGCAACCCGGAATTTTTATTTAATACGAAAGTCGTATTAATACGTTAATACGATTTTAAAAAAGTGAACTATCGTTTCTTAAATATATTACCAGTGTTGGTAATGATAAAATTGATCGCATAAAATTTGGTGATAAAGTGGATAAAAAAATCAAAGCTAATACAAAAGATAAAAGTCAGAATAAAATTATTTTGAATTCACTCCTTGATATCTGTCTTTAACATTTGTCGCCGGCGTGTAGTACTGCCGGGAAAATGAAAACCAAACTTCGATGTCCCATTCGGAATAGTAGTGGATTAAATTGGTTGTTATGATAGGTTTAAATGTGTGAAAAAAAATATCGCAATTACGGGGTCATTACGTAATCGATTTGGCCGTAATTACGGAATTGATTTTTGTCAATAACGTGCAAGCCTAGTACATAGATTACCGTCATCATTTATTTTGTAACTTGCAGGAAAGAACAATATCAAACTATATGAAATAAAAATGATATACAAGATAAAAAATATATATTAAAAAAAATCTTCACGTGTTTTTCATTTAATGTTTATTCAACATCGACCCAAACAAGCTCTAATTTTGTTGCATAAGTATGTTATTCTTAAAGTTCTATTTCTTCCGACTCTTTGCTGACTTCAGCGAATGTGGATTACGTTTTATATTTTCCGAAAATTCACGACACGTGTCTTTCAAGTTAAAGTATAATAAAAGCTCACTTTTCATTAGTTGTATGGAGCTATGTTCCTTTCACAAGCATAGACAAAAACAGTATTGTTGGATTGTGGACGTCATAGAGACCAATTATACGTAGAATTTTCAGTTATTGAACTAAAATAATTTACTGAAATATGCAACTGGTGTTGCCATTTTCGGAAAATTAATGTAAAATATTTGAAATGTTAATAAAATTGGTATTTCTTTGGCTATTTGAGCCGGACCAAAGCGAAATTAAAAAGAATAATTTAAAGCTTGCAAATACATAAACGGAAGCGATTTTTTAATAAGGAACAATATCAAACACAGTACTATAACAAGCGGGCAAAACGACGTTGGGAAGAATAAAGGACAATTAGCCTATTTTCTAAATGCTAAAAAGGACAAGAACCAAAAACCTCAATTAAAGGATTGTCCTTTGAAATACGATTGGCAACCCTACGGGAGGGAGAGGAAGAACGGTCTGTCTCATCATATGGCGAACCCTCGGTTACCAGCCCATGTCGGATATGGGATTAGTTAGCCAGTTACTTGTTTCGGATGCATTGTCTTGATTGTGAAGGAAGCCGTATCCGAACAGCGGTCACGTGAACCACCCTGCTATGGCGAGCAGTCCAGCAATCCTCTCACACATAATAATCCCCACAGAATTTTGTTGCAAAATTGACTGAAATTTGAAAAACTCGACAATTTGGTCCATCTGTGAGTAGACAGACAGATATGATATTATTACCTCACCACTAATCCAGAGACCATAAGTCGGATCGTCATACTAGTTTTCAGTCCCAGAACAAAAGCATCAAAAACTGGCGATAATCTAGCCCAGTGGTCGGCAACCTTTTTCAAGTGACGGACCGGTAAAGCCTGACCAAAATTTGGCGGACCACCTTTATACAAACGAACTAAGCCTATGCAATACATTAAACGCATTATGAAATTTATGTTGACAATATACTAAAAACGACGGTGATGCTATTTAACGCGATATCTGTATCAGATATGGTCGACATTTATTTATATTATTTCGTATATTTCGTTTTTGTAGTTATCAATATTGAAAACCAGGCCTCATATTAATAAGATTTCGGGAAAGTTAACAATGCCTGTATCATTTTGTTGGGGAGATCTTATTCGGACTGATGAGAGGCATTCTTATACGGGCGTAGAGATAACATTTGACCCAGCATTATTGCGAGATACTGACATGGCAGTTGTTCATGAAGTCAGACATGCTGCTCAATAGTGTTGTGCAGTGGTCGGCCAACTTCATGTACTTGCGGGCCAAATATACACATTTCCGGTAGCGCGGGCCGCAATATTTCTATTTCCGCCTTCAAACAATCGCCACATTAATTGAACTTCCCTTATTATCAATGTGAAAGATGGTGTTTTTATGGCAACTTGTCGTCCAAACTTCAAATGATGATCTGATAGGCAAGTACGAAATTTATTCTAAGTGTAATGCATTTTAAATAAAGCTGCTCAAGGCCATATATTCTTCCGACCGTGCACATTACACCTTTTTCACTAGCGCACAGATGAGCTGTGGCGCAATCCCGGGTCTCGGGGTCGAATTTTCGACGACTCGTTCCGTAACGAGTTTAACATTAAAACCCTTAACGACTGCGATGCTGACTGGGCATATCGAGCGAACCGGTTTTGAAATGCGCAAGGAAGAAAAATATTTTTCCGTCCAAGCACTTTGGAATGCTCGACCATCGTCGATCCGTTTCCCAGACATTTTCAATTTTTAAAAAATCAAAATTAACTCGAACGATATACAACCAACGCTACTTATTACTAAACAAGCACCGTACATCAGCACTTGTTACCACATAAATCCGTGTAGAGACAATAATAAATTTGGAATCATATTTGGTTTATGTATTGAATGTCGGGTCGTTCGAGGGCCGCAACAAATTAGCTCACGGTTCGCAGTTTTGCCGATTCCTGGTGTTGTGTTTGTTTGGTTTAGTGTTGTGTTGAGTGCTGTTTTTTAGTCGATGGGTTTGTGGTTAGATTGTAGAGGTTTTATTACGGCCTTTTTCGTTTTTGTGTCACCTCTCTGCGGACCGGCAGTAACCTTTCCGCGGACCGGTGGTTGCCGAACACTGATCTAGCCCACGTGACAATCAAATTCACAACCGTCACGAGCTCTATATGAGCAACTTTCGGACAGAGCATTTATTGGAAGTGCACATGACATTAAATTAAATAAAAGGCAAAATGAAAATATAGCACACGCACCAATATCTAGCAAAGAGTTTATTGATTTAAGGACGAACAAAGTAATGGTTCGTTCCATCATCTAAATTTGGTTCTTAGTCAAAGCCAAAAGTGTTATGATAATAGAAATTCCAGTTGAAATGTGGATCAATCTGTAAGGGATAAAAGTGCTGCAGGCCTGTGAGCTTCTAGAAATTGAATATTAGTAACATCCAAATCATATTTGATTTTAGGAAATGAACAACTAAATAAATCATGTAAAATAACTGCATTCGAGGGAAACTGCTGAGTAAAGTTGGAGTTTGAGTAATAATCTAAAATGCAACAATATGAACAAAATTATGAATGACGAATTTCTTCACTTGATGGCACATAATATTGTTACATACATAAACTGCATCTATACAGCATTCATTTTTCCAGTGCAATGACAAAAAAAAAGTATGAAACTCTTTGCATTATGATAAATTACTGTAGGATCCATTTTAAATACAAATGTGTTATTGCGAAAGAAGCAATGCACCAGATTTTTTCTGAAGAGTAAGACCTTACAATGAACTATGCACATCAATGGAGAATCCAAAAATAGTTTTCTATACAATGAGTCATTCTTACAAATATCGCTGTATTTTCACTTGCTTTATTCAAATACAGAAATGTGTTGTTACAATGTATGCATTGTAGACCTACAGGGTGAATATAGAACACAATATCATGTGAGATATCCTTCTTGAAACTTGCAAACTATACAGATTAAGAGAAACAGTTGCATTGAATAAAAAAATTAGTGCATATAAAATTATGACAAATTATTGAAGAATGAACTGGTCAGGATAAAATAAAAAATTACTTATATATGAAGAATAATACTGTTGCAAATAAGCCGGTTTGAAGATTTTAAGGATTTTTTATGAAAAACTCGAATATCAAAAACAAAACTTGATACAAAAATACTTGTATAATATAGAAAACAAAAATATATTCCATTGCCTATCAAATGGTATAGAGAACTGGGAACAGTGTTTTTTGAGATAAACTGTTTACTATTAGAGAATTGTTGAAAGTAAAAAATACCGTAATGTGGGGAATAATCACATGTAGCCTATGCTCATTTTAAAATTATGCATGTATCGCTAGAAATGGCATTTATGGTAATAATAACCTTGGAAATGGGGTAAAACTTGAATATATAGTAGAACATTCACCGTTAGACAGTATACCCCCCTAAATCTGAGGAAATTTGCACAAACAGTGTGGTGATAGTGTTAAGCACATAACCCTTCGTAAAATATAGTAATGTTCAAACTTGTTTTTTGTATTGCACCAATCCATTTCTTATTACAATGCATGGCAGTCCATCATTGCAATAAAATATGTTTATTCATGCTGATACTCCAGAGGTACTGGTGGATAGTAGTCCAACATTTTTCATTATTTCCTTCATAATTGGAACGAGTTGATCAAAACTTGGTCTTTGATCAGCTTCATACGTCCAACAGTACAGCATGAGATCATATACATCTGGAGGACAAGCTATGGGACAATCAAGCCTTTCATTTCTTTCCAACATTTCTAATATTTCCCGACCCTTCATTCCACGATATGGACGACTACCATAAGAAAAGGCTTCCCAAAGTGTGACACCGTAACTCCACACATCACATTTTGTGGTGAATTTATAATAACACAATGCCTCAGGGGAATACCATTTAAGTGGCCAGCTTCCTGGTCGGGCCGAGCGATAATAATTTTCGGACTCTTTCAAGACCTTTGACATTCCAAAATCCGAAACTTTTGCAAAATTCTCTGATACGAGGAGTACATTTCTTAAGGCCAAGTCCCGATGCACGATATTCTTGCTGGCTAAATAAGCCATACCGTGTAGTACTTGATTTACTATGTTTAAAATCTTGGATTCAGGAAAGGAAGTTTCATTGTGACGCTTCAAGAATTTTTTAAAAGTACCTATAGGAGCAAGTTCTAGTAACATCATAAGATCTGTGTCAGTATCACACACAGCAATCAATCGCATGATGTTCGGATGATCAAGATCTTGCATGAGAGCAGCTTCTTCCAGCAGCTGCTGCTTATTTGTCACAACATCAGTACCTTTGAGAAATTTTATAGCACAAGTCACTGCTTCTCCTGAAATTTTACATCTACCCAAGCAAACTGATCCAAAATGGCCTTTTCCCAATTCTTCATAAACTGAAATATCAGATTCCTTTACGTAGAGGTCTTTGGCCACACCCGATCCATCTTTTCCCGCACAATTTTGATAAATACTATTGAAGCCAGGACAATCTTCTGGCATGTTTGTGGAAGCCAATGTAAACTCTTTCAACCAACTTTTTGCTTTAGTTCGTCTTATATCCCATTCCTCCTTTGGATTGGTCATTGCTGTATCGTGTTGTGATCTATCAGGATCCCATGTCATATCAAAGCTACCATCTGGTAAATAGTTGTTTAATTGAGGGGATAAGCCAGAAAATCTATTTGCTGTTGCCGGATTTATTGAATTACGTACCAATGGAACTCCTGTTCTTTTTTTCTCACCAAATGACTTTGGACAAGCAGCTGCAAGCTGGCACTGAATGCCCGTTACAGATGGAGGATTTGCTCTATGAAAACTGACAAGATCTTCCATTGAAGGAAATTCTCTCTTTTTTCCAGAAATGCAAAAGTGACCAGTTGCAGGTATTTGGTTAATAATGTAACGGTGAACTCTTCCAGAATTCACGGCACTGAGGACATACATATTTGTATCCTTCCGACGCACAAGGAAAATCCCATCGCTGCGATTCAAACGATATCCCTGGGATAACCTTCGGGAGTCTTCCTCTCTTGTGATGTCATTGTGAAACCAATCAGTTTCCAGTACATATGCAGAAGCGCCAGTGAGGTTTTTAAATATAGGATTTCGCAGCTGAACTTTGAGGCCACCTTGCATTGCCATGTAATGTTCACATACTTCCCACGGATTAGGAAAGGGTGTACCATTATTTACAGAGTACATTGTTCGACCATCACGCTGAATTGGGTCAATACTGTAATGGAGGCAGTCACCCCTATACGATATAGATATCACGTAACTGTCATTGCGTCTCAAACTTTTGCGAAGTAAGAATGTTCCATCCTCTCGGTGTTTGAGAAGATTTTCTGTTTCCTCACGAGGAAGAGTACTGTGATAATAATGCTTCTGTGCTAAAACTTCTTCAGTTGAATCCATAATTTCATCTCTATGGTATAAACTGTATTAGTTACAAACCAAACCAAAGGACCAAAACAAACCTATTGACCCAGAGATTCTGCAAAACAAATTTGGTATATCTTTGATTAGGAAGCTCACCACCTCTCAGCCTCTAGCTCTAATTACCCTGCATGAGTTTGAATCCCATGGGCAGGTAGGGAAGAATAATGGGGACTCGTGTAGTTTCGTACATCAAATACTTCTAGTGGGCGAAGCATGACGATTTTTGCACATGTCAATCATATCCCCCACCTGACTACGGCATCCAAAAATAGGGTCACTATGATTTAGATTTATAAAGTCATTACTGCATTAAGAATAACCAATTTCTGAACTTACAACAAATAAAACCGGCAAATAAAACTCAAATCTCTAGGTCTGCATGAAGTAGAATAAAATAAGAGAATAAAGTGCTTTATCTTAAGATTGCCTCCAAAGACTGAAAGATGAGTTTGGATCAGCTGTTTCTTACAAGATTGGGTTTACTGGTTCAATACTTCTGGTTAAATGCATTCCCTACTGCACTGGCAGACCGACAAGTCTGCAAGTGCATGTCTGATACCAAAGTCCCCCCAGGGGGGCCAGCAGACATCTTCCCCGTTTATTTTTTAATAGATAAAGTTAATTAGCTGTACATTTTCATCATAATACTGTAATACAGTAATAGTAATATTGATACAGTGATATGAAACATAACTTATTCACCAATTCCATGGTCTAGTAACATGTATTCCATTTGAAGATTCAATCCATTGATTCATCCAGCTTTCACCAAGGTTACCCCAGCCCATGCGACCAGTAAAGTCTCATCAATATACATCTACAATGCTTAAAGATTTAACACGACGCATAGAACAGTAGAATGCGCGACGGAAAATAGGAGGCGCAGTTCTTACCACTTCATGGCAGCTCCTGCCACGAACGAACCGCGGCAGCTCTTGCCATGGTTTTATAGCGCTATTCTGTATTCAGTAATCAGTATTAACGGTATATTCACAAACTAATGTACCAAATTCTAATTGATCATGCGGAATTATATCTACTTAAACCCTAACCCTAACCCCAAATCCATCAAGACTGTTGTTAATAATGTCTTGGTTATATGTTAAGTTCTACACCCAAGCTATTATAGAATAAGGGTTCAACTGAATACGCTTACACTTCTTTATTACACCAGCATAACACACAACTTAAGATGTTTACAGCAACAGAACATACTAGCGAGTGACGCAACTGCGACACGTTAGCACAAGACAGATAGCACAATCAATTATCAGGGACGTTTCTCGACAAGGCATTATTAGCCATCATCAACATCCCTCTTTGTTTAAGATAAATTTCATAAATTATTTTAAAATTCAGAATAGGAAATATTCACCTTTACCTATTACACAATTCATGACCACTACAATTAAGACACATAAATGGGCAATAATATTTAACACTCAAAATCAAGTTATAGTCACTACTGAGTCACATAGTCTTTCATCCAAATAGGAGGTTTACGATTTCGACGAGGTCTGGTTGGAACATCATTCGAAATCAGAGGTCGAGAATTGTCATTGGCAACCGGGAGGTTGTTCGGCTTATAGTCGGACAAGAATGGAACACTTGGTTCATATTTTTCGATATTACAACTTTCATCAGGACGGATATGAATACGATTTCGTCTGTATGTAACACCATTCTTCGATTTGACAATGTAAGATCGTGTAGCAATTCGTTTCACAATAGTTCCTCTATTCCATCCCTTCCGTTCTGGATGTTGAAAATATACAGCTTCGCCCAACTCAAGTTCTCGCATCGGTCTTGTAGATTTGTCATAACTCTTCTTAACGCTGTGCTTTCGGCGCAGGCGTTTCGAATCGTAGTTTTCGTTTGGTTTCATAATTGTCGGTATAATCGATCTGGTTGATCGACAAAATAGCATCTTTGACGGACTGCTGTTCAAATCTTGACGCGGCGTATTTCTTATTTCTAGAAGAGCTAGAAATTGATCTTCATTCGTGTTTGCAGTCCTTTTCAGCATATTCTTGAAAATTTTAACGGACGATTCAGCTTTTCCATTCGCTTGTTGATGTCCAGGTGAAGAGGTAACATGCTGAATTCTCCAATCTCTAATGAATTTCTCGAATTCCGACGAGTTGAGATTTCTCCCACAGTCTGAGATTAACATCTTTGGAATACCATGTCGAGCAAAATGGCGTTTCAGACATATGATGATTTGATTCGTAGTTGTCGTCGTCATCACATCAACTTCGAAGAAACTTGAAAAATAATCAACCGTGATTAGATAATTTTTCCCTTTATACTCACATAAATCAATTCCAACTTTTTCCCAAGGAACACTTCCTTCGTTGTGTTGCAATAATGGTTCTTTCTGATTATTTGGTTTCGTCTGCTGACAAGAAAAACAATTGTTAGCAATTTGCTCAATCTCTTTGGACATACCAATCCAAAAGACAGTTTCACGAGCACGGCGCATCATACTTGCATAACCTAAATGAGAAAAATGAAGTTGTTGCTTTATTTCGTTACGCATAGATTTTGGGATCCATATACGTTCACCCTTCAAAATAATATCATCTTGATAACTCAATGTATCTCTCATTGAAAAATATGGTTTTACACAGTCAGGTAAGTCATACTTATGCTCGGGCCATCCATGTTTTATATATCTCAGCAACTTCATCGATTCATCATCTTTAATCATAGCTTGCTTTACATCTTCAATTCTTTCATCTGGAATTTGCTCTAAAGCGTCTACTTTCAAAATATGTGGAAAATGTTTGGAATTTTCGATAAAATTTCTGCTGAGGGTATCAGCAATTAATAAGGATTTTCCAGGCATATATTTGAATTGGATATTATATCTGTTCAATCGCATCATAAGAGTTTGTAAACGTCTGGGCGCTTGACTTAATGGTTTGCCCAAAATTGTTTCAAGAGGTTTATGATCGTTGTGAATTATAACTTTGCGACCATATGTATATTGATTAAATCGTTCAAGTCCAAATACAACAGATAAAGTTTCTTTTTCAATCTGAGCCCAATTTCTTTCAGATTTTGACAAACCACGCGATGCATATTCGATAGGCTTCTCATTCTGCATTAAAACAGCACCAAGACCATCTTTGCTGCTATCAACTTGTAGAACTAGGTCAAGGTTAGGGTCGTAATAAGCTAATACGGGCGATTTCGTAATTTTACGTTTGACCAATTGAAAAGCATTCTAACACTTTTCGTCCCATAGCCATTTAATATTCTTTCTAGTGAGATTTCGAATTGGCTCTAGATCACTGGCAAGATTAGGCAAAAATCTGGATAAATATTGAATCATGCCACAAAATCGTTTCACATCACTGACATCTTTTAACGATGACATTTTCACTATGGCCTCTGTCTTAGCAGGATCTGGCTCTATCCCACTAGTTGTAATCTTATGGCCCATAAAAGTTATTTCTTCTTTCATATTTCTTGCTTTGGTATCATTTAATTTAATGTTTTTAGTTCGGCACCTTATTTGGAGATTTCTTGTGTTCTCTCTCAAATCCGCTTCCGCTTCAGATTTCGTGTCTCCACATCCAATTACTATGATGTCATCTGCAATCGTTATAACACCTTTCAATCTGAACAATGCTTCATTTAAACGTTTCTGAAATATTTCGCTGCTCACATTCAAACCAAATGGGAGTCTAGCCCATCTGTAACGAGAAAAAGGTGTGATCATTGTCGTTAACTTACTCGATTCTTCTTCTAATATTACGTGCCAATATGCTTCTTTTACATCAAACTTGGTAAACACTTTTGCATTGCGTAGCTTATGCAATACATCATCAAGAACAGGTAATCTGTAGTGTTCTCGTTTCAACGCGGCATTTAAAGGTTGAGGGTCAATACATATTCGAAGCTTTTTGTTAGGTTTCTCAGTCACAGCCATTTGACTAACCCAATCGGTAGGTTCATCCACCGGTATTAAGATTCCCCTTTTCACCAGGTTATCTAATTCTGATTTAACTCTATCTTGGAGAGCTATTGGGATTTTTCTACAAGGTAAAACTCTAGGTTGAAAATCAGGATCAACTTTTAATTTCGCTATTCCCAAGTTTCCCAAAGTTTGCGGTAGGTCAACATTTGCAATAAATTTATCGCTGTTTATTGTAATCAAACCCATTTCTTGTATTGTCATTAACCCCAAAAGACAGTTGAAATTATTCTTGACAACAGTAAATCTTACCTCTGCGACTTCATCATTTCGAGGATTTTTTACCTTTAAAATTGTCTCACCAAGTGGTTTCATTTTCGTTTTATTCCACATCACAAGATTGTCAGTAGTTGGTCTAATTTGGTCTTTCCGCACATATTTCTCGCATATTGTGTTGACATCTGCAGCACTATCAAATTGAAATCTGACTTCATAATTGTTGACTTCCATCAGAGCAGTAATTCTTGAACTGTTGACGTTATTTATATTCTGGACACGTTGATGACCTTCAAGCGTTTCTTCATTTTGGTCATGTTCCTTCATTTGTCGAACATAGCTTGCGTTTCTACACTTCACTCGGAAATGATTTCTACCACTGCACGAATGACAAGTTTTTCCATAGGCAGGACAAAAGGATATCCCGAACTTGTGTCTGCGTCCACAAAATTTGCATTCTTGGTATGCATTTGGAATACGCTTGTTTTTCGGAGCTCTGTTCGTATTTCGGTATTTTCTATTTTTAGTCAACAAAATTCGTTGCTCGCTTTCCGAAGTTGCACGGATCTCCGTCGCTTGCTTTTCTGACATTTCATATGTTTGGCAAATCTTTATGGCTTTTGACATATTGAGATCAGTCTCCCGCAGCAGAATTTCTTGTAATTTACCGCTTACTGAAAATACGATTTTATCTCTGATCATTTGGTCTTTGTTTTCGAAGTTACAGGAATCGGCTTTACTACGGAGTTCAACGAGAAATGTATCAAAATTGTCTTTGTACTGTATATTGAAAAAGCGAAAAGTCTCCATCACCTCATTCTTCCGAGGATTACAGTGTTCAGCCATTTTCTGTAGTAGAACTTTAGGGTCATTTTCGTCCTCTGTATCACTGTATACAAAGTGTTCGGCAGCTTCAATCATTTGAGCACCTGCGCAATATAAGATTATTGCCTTCTGTTCTTCCTTTGACTTGCTAGTAGAACCGCTGGCTAGCATGAAAATATCAATCTGTCTCTTCCATTTCTTAAACGTCTCTGATAAATTTTCATCATGCAGACCAAGAGTCGACGGTAAGCGAATTTCAGATACCGCTGCCACCATGTTAATAATGTCTTGGTTATATGTTAAGTTCTACACCCAAGCTATTATAGAATAAGGGTTCAACTGAATACGCTTACACTTCTTTATTACACCAGCATAACACACAACTTAAGATGTTTACAGCAACAGAACATACTAGCGAGTGACGCAACTGCGACACGTTAGCACAAGACAGATAGCACAATCAATTATTAGGGACGTTTCTCGACAAGGCATTATTAGCCATCATCAACAACTGTATCCATAAGAAAAACGTTCCAACTTACCCAATATTTGTCACCATAAGGGACAGCCCTGTCCTTACGGCCCACCTGCCGCGGTTACGGCAGCAAAATTTTACCTGCCATTGGTTTTAAATTTGCTGCCGCGGTAACAGCAGATCGACATTGGTTTGTGGCAGCTAAAAAGTCAGCCGCCATGGTTTTGCGGCAGCTGCAGACGCCATGGAATACTTGAAACTGCACTTGGAAAATAGGGAAGCTAGTCGTAAGGCAGTTGCCAGGTTTACGCCGAAACTTTA